GACACACACAAACACAAACACACACACACACACACACACACTACACGTACACTACGTACACACATACACACACTACACACACACATATTTTTTTACTTATTTTCTGTTTTCTAATGTTTAGATGAATTAGAACTATCTAGTTTATTTTTAGAATGTTAGAAATGTTAATGTTAGATGAATTAGAAATGTTAATGTTTAGTTGAACTAGTTGAATTAATATATAGAACGAACTGGTTTATTTTTAGTAAATGCTTAGTTGAACTAATTAAATTAATATAACTAGTTTATTTTTAGTAAATGCTAGTTGAACTAGTTGAATTAATATAACTAGTTTATTTTTGTAAATGTTTAGTTGAACTAGTGGAATTAATATATATAACTAGTTTATTTTTAGTAAATGCTTAGTTGAACTAACTAAATTAATATAACTAGTTTATTTTTAGTAAATGCTTAGTTGAACTAGTTGAATTAATATAACTAGTTTATTTTTAGTAAATGTTTAGTTGAACTAGTTGAATTAATATATAGAACTGGTTTATTTTTAGTAAATGCTTAGTTGAACTAATTGAATTAATATAACTAGTTTATTTTTAGTGAATGCTTAGTTGAATTAATAGAAGTAGTTGAATTAATTGAATTAGTAAGTGTTTAATGTTTCGCCTAATCTGAACATAGGAAATGTCGTCTGACGACTGAATTTTTTTTATTATGTGCGAATACTGTGAAGACCAGTGCAGCCAGTGCGACTGAATTTTTGTTGTTGATGGTAGGCGATTCAGCATCAAGTTGGATGAGACCTTCGAATTCGATACAGTAAGTCACAACGACAAGTCTGTTTTCGTAATTAAGCATGACTTATATATGCTTCATTTGCCTGACTTTTAATTTTTAATTTTCACTATTCTACTAGCGCATCCCCTGGCATGCAAGAATTTTTGTCTTGGATAAGATAGGTTTCAAAGATATGGAAACTATGAAGGTAAAGAGACTTTACCTGAAAACTGAGCATGATGGTTATATACTTTCAACGTCAAAGTATGCAATGCACACACGTACACCTATTTTGAATGCAAAACTTGGTAAGCACTATGCAAGGCTTATGCATTTGAGCCTGGTATGGTTATCACCTTTGATATTCGTCCGGAAGATGATATTCAAGGTAATAGAGACATATGGGTCGATGTGCAGACACCTCCAGTTCTACCATTATGTGAGTTCTTCTCAACTATATTTTTGTCTTTCATATTGCTTATTCAAAAATAATTGACAACTAATTTCTATTGACAGCTTATCTCCATTCAACTAAACATGTCCGGCACTTGGTAGACAGGACCTACTACTGTCCCGGAGCTGAACTAAATTGCGAGGAGATAAGTCATTATGTTTCATGGCTTGAAGATCTTCATACTGTCAAGACAAATTTTCTTCCTGCACTTAGAAATGTTAGTACTCAAAATGTGCGACCAATAGTGATGGTATTGAACTACGGTCACCTCTATTTAGGAATGATGGTAAGATATTTACTATTTGTCCTCAGTGCATATTTTGCATACATAATTTTTTTGCTAAACTTTCATTGCTAAGTATATTAATTAAGTACTATACGATGTTCTTCAACAGGGACTCCCGATGACAGTTGTGCCTCAGGGGATCAAGACTAAAGGTCGCATGTCAATTGTTAGCTTACGGCCAAGATATCCTGCATTGCACATGAATGCAATCAGGATTTCTAGAAGCGATGAATGCTTAATAGTGAAAGATTAGATGAAAATTGTTAACGATCGCAGAGAAGTACTAGGGGGCAGCAATGAGAAGTGCAACCCACGATTAGGAGACAGGTTCATCTACATGCTCCAGTATGATCAATCAGGAGAGCTATACATGTTCTATGCTATTTTACCAAAGAGAGAGAGTAGCTAACAGGAGTGATTTAGCATGCTGCTCTTAGTACTTGTCCTTTCATGTCCGTGTTCTTCGTTCTGAACTTAAGTGATTTGCTTTTGTGGTGTTATATATATATGAACGCTTATAATATCATGACAATCATGTTGAACTCGATGATATTTTTGCTTCTGGTACAAGTGAATGTTTCTTCTTTAAGCTAGTAGTGCTGGTGGTGATTAGATAGCTAGCGGTAATGCATGACTATGATGATTAATATGATGATGATGATGATGAGTTATTATATCATTTAATGAAAGAAACCGTAGATTAGTTTCAGCTGGATGGATCCTACCTAAGTGATCAAGTATATGCCATATCCGTATATATTATAGTTGATCAAGTATAATTAGTATGGATATGGCATATACTTGATCACTTAGCTAGCTAGCTAGTAGCTAGATATATATCCAATTAATGCATCCAGTCGAAACTAATCCGTGGTACTTTCACCTAATGATTTAACAACTCATTATAATGTAAAACAATCACTAAATTAAATTGAAAACACAAAATTAAAGAAAAATTAAAAAAACACCCAAACATTTAGTACCTGGCTAATGACCTACACGCAAACGGGCCTGGCTCGTGCCACGTGGTGGCACTTT